ATTGTGAAGGGACTTGCGATGGGATTGTGAAGGGAATTGTGATGGACTCGAATGTAGCATTGGCCATGTTCGATCAAGGACCATAGTTAACCGTAGTTCGAATAAACCTGATTGAACACAGGCTAGTTGACGATGGTTGGACTAGTCTAGTCAACTATTCGCGACCAGCCTATCGAGGTTGGTTGCATCGTTGGTTGCCATTAACAGTTTATAATAGCACAGTACAGAGAGGACCAGTTATGAGAAAAATGCCGGAAAAACTGTGTGTCTCTAGAAAAATGACCATTTTCACTTCATTTTTTGCGATTTTGCCCTCCCTGCAGCTATTTTTTCTCCCCTTCGGCCTAATAACCCGACAATGGTTGACTAGGGTCATTTGCACTTCAACTTCACTGCACATGCACCAGGTACGTCACAAACCAACCAAGAGTTAACTGGTGGTCCTTAATCAAACATGCCCACTGATACACAGGTACCAGGAATGAAAACTTAAGTGGTCCACGTGCTTCAGACATACCTGTTATTCACCCGTAATAGTATGTGAGAACAGTTTTCCATCATCTGGGAAAGAAATTGACAACCAAATCTGACAGCATTCATGTCACAGTATTTACTGTACATTATTGGACGATTCATGTACATGTAGGTTTACCGGGGCAGAACTTCAGGGAGGCGTTAGGAGGCACTTACCTTCATGCCCTTGTCTTTGCCTTGATACCCCATTGAAATCTTCCCATACGTAATGGACAAGTTGGTTTTTCTAATACAAGCACCCCTTGCGAAGGAGAAATAGCCTTGCCCCATCAAGAATGAAGTTCCTGCCTTTGGTTTGTTAAAGGAACTCTGCCAGTTCCCAAGGGACGCAGATATACATGTACACGTGCGCGTGGCATGTGGTAGAGTATGTAAATGGCCCATATTGGACCGAATGCTAACAGACTTCCAACATGTGTCAGTAATGGAAAACAAACCCGAGAATGGGATTTCAAATAATTAAAATACTGAGGCTGCTGGAAAGAGATTTCTTTATTACATGTACATTGTTGAAATGAAATTTAGGATTTCCTGACTTTCAAAACAGATATCTGTGCAAGGGTATATCAGTGTCTCCATTAAATGTTGATGATTTCCTGTTTTGGCAGAGAATAAATGAAATGCAGTAAATTCTTCGCCTGATGTGAAATGCAGTTTTTGAAGCCTCTGCAGAAGTCTTGTTGAAATTAAATTTGATATTTCCTGCTGTGGAAAACCAGTGTCCCTGTCAATTGTCAACATTTCTGGTGTTGGCTGAAAATAAATGGAGTGAGAGATTTCCCAGTTTGATGTGAAAATTCAGTTTTTGAAGGAAACAGCACAAAAGAAACAGTGATGTGATTGATGAGTCCTTTCACAAGTTCAGTGACAAGTGCCTTCAGAAGGCCAGTCATTAATAACAGTCAACAGTGGTATTAAGGAATGCTTTTGTGTCACTGTTTGCGACTTGGCTCAAGAAGTGGCTCAAGAAGTGGCTGACTTGTGATGGACTTACAGGGACTTGTGGTGGAGCCAACCACTACATTATACAGAGGCTATGCATTGTCATGTACACCTTTTGGGGGGGACATAATTTAGAACTAGCTTCGTGCCTGCACTACAGTGGTGGGTGTTTTGGGGAAACAGTCTCCCTTATGGCTGAGTGACATTTTTTGTGAATAAGGCCAATTTAATATTGAAACGTAACTTTTCAGTCGTGTGGTACAGCACAAGGGCAAGGCAGAATGGCTAATCTCATGAGGATAAAGACCTCAACCGAGAGGCTGAACCAAAAAAATGAACGTTTTATTAAGGCAACTATTTGGTAGCACACCGCTACAGTAAAATGCTTCCGAAGTTTCAAAATGTGAGCTCGTTGCTGTTTTTAATTCTTTGACTTTACATCCATGGGTCTGAGGTCAAGATTTGTTTGTGTACTCACGGTCTGTGTGGAGAATGACATCACGCTTTGTTTACATAATGCGCATTCCTATGGGAGTGCAATGGATCGCAGCCCATCTCACTACCATAAGAAAGTGCATATGTAAACAGAACGTGATGTCATATGTGAACCGCTCTGCAAAAAGATGTATTAAGTCGCGCAATGAAGCAGTGCTTAATGGCCTATTCTATGTCCCGAGGGTGAAATATTTTGGAAATATTTTGAGGCAGTTGCTTGACCAAGAAGCCTCTGTTGCAAAGGAAAACCAAGAGAGTGTCTAATTTAAGTTTCCAACGATATGTTATGTCCCATTGTCCTAAAAGAATGATTAGTCAGCCACCAACGACTGCGTATGAATAAATAACATATCATTGGAAAGAGGAGATAAGTGACTTTAAGGTGCTACTACTCACTTTGGTGTAAAGCTAACACAATTTTCACAAACTTGAACAGAAATCTTGTTGCGTGGTTTTTTGATACACACTGAATCACTCAAATTAAACAAACGTGACATAATGCACCTTTCTGCAGATCCGGTCACATATTACAAGTCTATTTTAGTTTGGGGAGTATTCATTTTGTTGGTGGTAATGCATATGTAGCACGTCACCTTGTAGTCGTTCAAGAACCAGGGAACTGGAGTTCCCACCCAAGCAGCCTCTGTTGCTAAGAAGATTGCGCCCTCTCTTGGTTCCGATTGGGGCCCATTGTGTCTGCCATGTTGAAGTTACACTACCACCAAAAAAAGAAAAAAACACTGGCCCCAAATCAATACACATTGAAAACAAGTTTTTCCTGAACATCAAATGGCAGTCGGAACAACTTCTCTTTAATTTAATTCAGTACCATGTACAAACTTTATACATCTCTAAAACAGAAAAACAGAGCCCCTGTGTACAATGGAATCATCCATTAAAATTAACACATCTGCTCCCTTTTGCCAGCAATGGTAGACAGAGGCAGGAATAAGACCCCAAGTTAAATCTTTGGGCCATTCTATTATTGTAATGGGTAGGGCAGGTAATCAGCAACATGTGCAAGTACTTATACTGTTTAGAAAATAGCTTTCAAAACTCCATTAGAAATACCTCCAGCAGTTTTGGAAGATTCCATCTATATATACCGGTATATTGGCTTGGCATCTTGTGCATAATCTATATGCATTATCGTATGCCTCTTTCATACATGTACATGTATACTTAATATTTCACAAAATTCTGTTCATTAATGCGTCACTCATTGAAACACGGCCACTATCAAAAAGTGGCCGCTAAAATCTCTCCAAATTTATGCAACAAATTCAACCACATAAAAAGTATCTGTCGACAGTCATTACTTTTTCCTTTTTGGTGAATCCTTTTTTCAAACTATAGTATGTACTTAAAGGTGTACACTAAAATACAATTCTTTCTATCTCTTTCAATAACATAAACACAAATTTGGTATTTTTTCTTCAGTCAGTTTAAGTTGCATTCAAATCCACTCTGGTCAAGTCTCGTAATAACATTCACGTTTGAAATAATTTCACATCACCATGGCAACCTGCCAGATTGACAGAAATTGGTTATCTAGCAGTGTCTTTCCTTGCCCCATACAGCTGCTGCGTCCCCTGCTGCACCCTTCATATTCATCCCTGCACATTAGTCACGTCGCCGTGGCAACGAATGACATCAATGGGTGGCCATATCTTTTCTCTTTTTTTTTCACATGCGGTTGCTAAGTAACACCCACTCCAGGAATGTGGGTGCTTACTGGAAGTGGTGTGATTTTCGCCATTAATCTGAATGTCAGAGCAGTAACATGTATATTGCTACACCAGAAATATGACGAGTGCTGACAACATACTGGCAAGTTGAATCGTCAGACATCTGATCACCCTAGGCATTGATTCAGTCATTTGTAAACTTCTCTAGCTTTGCTTTGTGTGATGCCTAGCAACTGGGGTATGCTTTAATATTGCACATTTAATGACAAGAAATGAATTTTTTAATACAAGTATAAATTCAATGTAAGTTCCCATCAAAATGGCATCAGTGAAATTCAACGTAATACGAAACAAATGGCTGTGATATTCCTTCATTTACAGGCTGGCTTTTTCTATAGAAAATTATGATTTGTGGCTGCGACTTGACCTCGGGGTAAAAAATGCAGCAACATCTAAATAGGCTTGGGGCTTATTTTTATTCTTTGTGGAAAAGCCTGTTTTAATGAAGTCCCACATAGTGTGTAGGCAGTG